CACCCGCGTGTGTGACTGACTGCACTCGGCGGAAACGGAGCCGCGGGCGCCGCAGCGCGCAGCGAAGGCGTGACCGCACAGCCACTTTCACTAGAGCGCGACTCTGCCGATACCCCTGGCGCCAGAGACTCCGCGGTCGCGGCCCCGGCCGCGGCTCTACCCCGCGGGGCAGCGTCTCCGCGCGGGGCGCCGTGAGCCCTCTAGCCGCGCCCTGCCTTGCCTTGCGTGACGCCGTGACGTGGTTAGCGCTGTTAATCGAAAGGCGATACTCCAATTAGCAGTGGGTGGTGCTTTCCATTACACCACACTGTAACCACCAAAACAGTCCGGCCTTTCTCCGCTTGGCGGCCCGGACAAGTGGTCGCCATTTTTCGACATTTTTTTTGCCAAGCGGGTGCTGTTGAGAAAACGCGCCCGATAGATAGGTGCGCGCGGCGTTTCTCAGAATTGACCGCCATCGGCGCACCATTAGGACTCTGTTTCAAATAATTTGCCACATTTGATGGTTATTTTGGGGGGGTTAAAAAAAATTGTTCTCAAGCGCAGGCGCGCTTGGGCGTGGTCCGAATTCTTTCTCTCGGCAGGTGTTTTTATTATGCGCGAAACAGTCGAAGGTGTCCTCGCCGTCCCAATCCTCTGTCTCTCTTAATCGCGCTAGCACGCACACATACACGCACGCTCGCTCGCCCTCGTACGCTCTCCATTGTTTAATGCGTCTAACCGTTATGACAAAATAGACGTGAAAGTCACGAGGTCGTCAAGGTGTGCCGTGCTCGGCCATGCTTGTGCAGCTGTCACGGCGGCGCCCTGTGTTTGCCCGACGCCGTGCCAATTCAAATTGAGGAAAAAGGAAAAATTGTGCCCGACTTGGGAACGGCACCCTTCACGGTGTTCTTTTATGAAATGCGCTTTATGAAAATCAACGAGCGCCTCTACATATTTTTTTTTTTATCAGGTTAGATAAAATGTAGCGGCCGGGTCGTGTCCGGCGCTGCTCGCCAAGGCGCTGCCGCGGGTGCGAGGGAAAGACAAGGCGGCGTCGCGTGTGGCTCAATGCGTTGCAAGATAAATTTTTTTTCTCGTCTAGTGTGGTGGCAGCCCTGGAGCTTTGCCTTTCGCTCAGGCTTGCCATCTTCCCGCCCTGAATGATAACTCATCCGGAAACGGTCCGCGCGTGCCGCTTATCTGGCCGTCATTGGGGAAGGACGGCGCTCCTTGTGCTTTTTTTTTTTTTTTTTTTTTTTTTTTTTTTTTTTTTTTTTTTTTTGAAAAGTTGGCAACGGGGGCGTGGGCGGCGCCATTGATATTCGGGCCGTGCGAACTTCCGGTCCGCCTTGTACCGGAAGCGGTGCATTAGGGAGTTATTGCCATTACGTGACGGGCCGCGCGCGCCCACCGGCCCGCCACGTGAGCGTGGACACACCAATCGGACGGACTGACAACCCCAAATATCGATTCGGCGCGTCCAAAAAAAAAAAAATTAAATAAAATTTTTCTTACCCTAGTTATTTTCTTAAATTAAGCAAAATCTGTTTCGTTTTTTTCTCAGAAATTTTATTGTGATGTGTCTGTCCTTTTCCGTTTTGGAAATTTGTTGTCAGTCCTCTGAAGCCGTTCTGTAAACGTTGGTGGTTGCAAAAAATAAAAAAAGCAGAAAGAAAAGCGCGAAAGAAGAGGCTCTTGAAAGAATGAGGTGTCGCGCTGAAGGTAGTCAGGCATCACCCCGGCCTAATTGCTCCTTCGAGTGTCCCGATGGCGTGCAATTGATTCGCAGTATCTGCCGTGATTGTATCACAGCAATCGATTTGGTGTTGGAGAGGGCGCGGACGTCACGGTGTTTGTGTGGCTGCGGTTCGAGTGCCCCGTCGTCGATTTGCCAGAAGAGCGGCGCAGGCGGCCGAAACTCTGGACGCGTTTTGAGCCCCAGAGTCGCTAAATGGGACTCGAAGCGAACGTGTGACCCCCAATGGATTGCTCGTTCGGAGAGCAATCCATTGGTGGGGTCACACGTTCGGTTCGAGTACCATTTAGCGACTCTGGGGCTCAAAACGCGTCCGGGATTCGGGCCGCCTCCGCCGGTCCTCCGGCCCACTGTGCGACGGCCCGGACGGGGACTCTGTTCCCACCCCACTGCTTTCCACATCCAACCCCCCGGGGCCCGCCAGGACCCGCGACGCTGCCTTGACCTTTGCCGGCCCGGACTAGAGGCTGATTTCGAGCGCTCCCTTCGCCGCTCCGTCTCTGTCGCACTCCTGGGGCGTGCCGCAGCGGAGCGAGAGAGAGGGACTACGGGGACAGCCTGCCGGAGTCTGAACTAGCGCGGCCGGTCCACTGCTGGCGGCCTTTGGCGGCGTGTCGCCACCACTGCTAAATCCAGTGTCGCGGCACGACCGTACGTCGACCCTTCGCCTAGTCCAGCCGCGTAGATGAGGTGCTAATCTCGTTTGTAACCTCGCTAGTTGCTGGCGCCCCCTTTCGGCTGGAAGCCCCCTGATAAGGGGCCACGGGTTCTTCCACCGGCGCAGCAGTGGGCCCGGGTTCGAACACGCGGCGTCAATGAACCCTTGGCAAACCCAAGTCATGATCGGCCAAGTGGAGCACTGTACTGAATGCCGCTCGCTGGAGAATGACGCCGGCCAGCCCTCTCGCACTCGCCCGGCGTCCCCGACGGGTGCGAGAGAGACAGAGCGACGAAAACGACTCTCGGAATGAGTCCGCTGAGGCGGCCCAGGGCGGCCGCCCCGGAGGCCGGAACCGGTTCTGCCAAACTTGACAAAGGCGGCGTGCGGAGCAGTGCGGAGTCGTGGCTCTTTTGTTTATTGGTCCGCACTTGTTGGCGCCACCTTCAAATGTTGCACTATTGTTCCTTTCCCCGCCGAGTCCGCACGTAGTCCGCACCGCGACCCTCGGTCTGTCTGTCTCACTCGCACCCTTTTATTCGCGGCAGAGAAAGGCGTGCGGGTGACACGTTGCTTTTCCCGGGTTGGCTGCCGGCAGCATCTTGCGGCTATTTCGGGCGCCGCGGCCCTGTTGTCTGCCCTCGTCGCTCTGTCTCTGTCGCACTCGCGGGGCTGTCCGTGAGCTGAGACGGTTTGGAGGTGCTCGGCCCTTCCCACAGTGGGCCAGAAGACCGGTGGAGGCGTCCAAAACTCTAGACGCGTTTTGAGCTCCAGAGTCGCTGAACAGAACTCGAACCGAACGTGTGACCCCGCACCGATGGATTCCTCGTTCGGAGAGCAATCCATTGGTGGGGTCACACGTTCGGTTCGGGTGCCATTCAGCGACTGGAGCTCAACCCGTCCGGGATTTTGGCCGCCTCCACCAGTCTTCTGGCCCACTGTGCTTGGCCTAACGGGCCGAGGCCTGGTGTCCGCGGCCGTGCCGCCGTGCGGGTGGAAGTGGAAAAGCACGAGCGTGCCCAAGGTTTCCACACGTGATTCGACGGCCAATCATGCGTTCCGATCTGAATCTCGGCCCGGGCACATGTCCTACACCGAAAAACAAGTTTTTAATGTCGTTTGTTTTACTCTCGCTGCTGGCGCTTTCCGCGAGGGGTTCGATAGGGGTTTTGTTTTGGATGTTTGTAACGTAATGCCTTTATCGGCAGCCGCCGCCCCCGCGAGCCATTGATGGAATTTGGGCGGGAGGAAGGGTTACACTAGGAAAAAAGTACGAAGAAAGCTAAAATTTTAACTTCTTAATAACGCCTTTTTAAACTGTCAATTTTTTTGGTAGCCATTTTTTTTGTTTTGCAGCTATGTATATTTTGTGGCCATAATTTATTTTGGAAACTCGTAATTTTTAGTGTTCAATTTTTTAAAACCCGGGCGTGCTTTTCCTTTCCGCGTGTATTTCGAAAGTGGTCGCGTTGTGCGTCTAGAATGCCACGCCTGCCGATTCCATTGAGACCGTGTTACCAAACGCCGCGCCGCGCTGCCGGCGTGGTGATCGCCCGCCTGGACGTTTACCCGGAATGGTCGAGCCTTCTCGATCGGATTTCGCGGCGTGCGGTCTTTACAGTGGAGTCGCGGATCGAGCTCTAGCTAGCGAGGTCTCATTTCATTTAACCACGCCGGGTGCCATTGACATCATGGCCCGTCCTGGGCCCGTCCCTTCCCCCATTTTCATAACTAATTGCAAACTTTCTGCATAAATTGAGTTTTGTTTTGTTTTTTTCCTGGTTCATTTTTGATGGTGTGTGGCGAAAAAACGTCGCAGTTTGGTGGTGCTGGTTTAGCAGTGCACTCGTCTGCGAGGCGCGAGGGGACAGCGGAATGCTTGTCTAGCTGTCGCGGTCAAAGTTTTTTTTTTTTTTTTTTTTGCCCTGCAAGGCGCTGAGGAGGTGATTCCTTGCATGATGCTTTCGACGCGTCGCTTTCGTATACGTACAACGCAGTTCGGGCAGTTCAAAAGAGGCGAGTGTGTACTGTAGTAACATTGGTAGACTTGGTGTCAGTCGACTCTGTTGTTGTTGTTGACACCTGCCGGTGTAGGCCCCGGTCATCGCCACGCCCCCGCGCCCGGCGGCCCGGCGGGCGGGCTTGTCCGCCACACTGTAGTCCCGTTGAGGTCTGCGCGGCTCGGCGTTCCGGAGCGTGGCCGCCGTGCCGCGGTATTCGTTAATTGGGCCCGGTAAAGGGCTCGCGCTTCCCTGGCAACAACTTTTCGCCGACATGATCTTCATTTTCTTTGTTTTTGTTGTTTTTGTTTCGATTATCGCGCGCGACTGTATAGTACTGTGGTTGTACGGCGCGCGGCGCGGCGTTGTGCCTTCCCTCGGTTCGGTTCGGTCAGCACGCGCGAGTCCCGTGCGGAGGCCCCCGCCGCCCCGCCACGCTGTTTGGGCTCGGCAAAGACATTACGGATTGTTACAGCAGTTGCATCACGGTCGCCTGATAATTTCAAGTCCGCCGACCGCCGTTTATTTTTATTCTTCGACTGTTTGCAACTTTGTGGTGGACTCGGACTTGATCCCTGTGCTTTGCTTTGTTTGTTTTCAGGGATCCTCGTGCGTGTGTGTGTGTGTGACGCGAGCGTCGTCTACTTCGCGGATCTGGCGTCAGACTTCAGGTAAGCCTTTCCACCTGCTTGTTTTATAAACGAATCATCCGTTCCATTTTCTTTTTCGTTTGAGTTCGTTCGCTCGCCCCCTCTGGGGACACGCAGTGTCTCTCGCTCAGATTGGAAAGGGGGGGGGGAGTGTCAAGGTCACGGCGAGTTGATTGGGGCCTTAAGTGGATTTGGATTTCAAGAAGGGTACAAAGTGGGGGCGCAGGTTCCTTTCTCTCTCCCGGCTTCCTCGTGATGCCGAGAGTCGTGTTCGTCGGTCTGTCTCTCTCGCACCCACACGGGACGCCCCACGAGTGCGAGAGAGACAGAGCGACGAAAGCGGCTCTCAGTCTGCCGCTGCCTGATAACCCCTCCGAGTCGTTACACGGGCCGCGCTGCATTTTGCGACTTAGTCGGCCCATGGCATGGCGGCCCATCGGCCCATGGCATGGCGAAACCCATCGATCGACGCGAGCCGGACGTGAGTGGCGTGTGTGGCGGCGGGGGCGCGTCTCTCTCGCACTCACGGCGCGCCCCGCCCGGGCGCGACGGAGACGACACGAGAACGCGCGCTCCGTTCGGAACTCACCTCTCTGGCCAGTGCAGTACACTGTCTCTCGCGAACGGCAGGGGGAGTCTGCATTGTTTTGATTGGCCGTCATTCCCGGATTTGGCTTTCGGATTCCTGGGGCGCGCCGCTCCTGTCCTGCTGCAGCACACAGTCTGGCTGTGCTGCATGGCGATGCCCGCGCCACTGTAGGGCGTGACTTTGAGTTGGAAGAGTGCAGTTTGTTTTCGTTTTTGCCGAGAGAGTGTTCCTGGCGCGAGCCGCGAGCTACAGGGAATTCCACTGTCACATGCCGCAGCCGTCTCTCTCGCACCTACTTCGGGACGCCCCATGAGTGCGAGAGAGACAGAGCGACGAAAACCACTCGCAGAATCGGTCTGCCGGCTGAACCGCTTTTGCGAGGGGGTGGTTCCGCCCAGTCGGGAAGCGCGCGCGTGGAGTGGGCAGCGACCAGCGGGGCAAATCGAAATGTGGTTCGATTTTGATTTGGGGAGGGGGGCTAAGTGGCGGTTTGGTTCAGGGCCGTCTGGTGTGCGCGACGACCAATGACTCACGGGGGCGGCCCCGCTGGGCCCCGCTGGGGGCGGCTTAGGGGGGCGGGGGTTGTTTGGTAAATGATGACTACGGCCATCCAGGCGGTCTAAGGTCGTGTCTGTGCTGCAGACTGATTCCGAGAGTCGTGCTCGTCGCTGTCTCTCTCGCACTTATTCGAGGTGCCTCACGAGTGCGAGAGAGACAGAGCGACGAAACCGACTCTCGGAATCAGTGTGCTGGGCTATTGGATTGCGCGAAGCCACCCCCTGGACTGGAAGCCCCGACGAACGTCGTCCTCGTTTTCTGCGACCGCCTGGAAATTCCACCGAGCGTTCTAGACTTCCTGTCGCTGTTGGCACGATTGGGAAAAGTCCTTTAGCTTGACACCGGACGGACGCACCGACAGGGATTTCCCATGCGTTTGCGGCCATGCAAATTTTATTTTTATTTTTTTCTCGTCTGCCGATTTTTTTTTCCTTTCCCCGAGGGTCCGCCGCCTGAACGCTTGTTGACGTGTTCGGCCCTATCGGCCGGCGTCGCGGCGCTGCTGGCGGGCCGATGCGGAACGCGGTCGCTCTGTCTCTCTCGCACCCGCACGGCCCGCAGGGGCAGCCCCACGAGTGCGAGAGAGACAGCGCGCCGTTCGGAGCGAGCCCGCCGGCCGTGCCGCGGGCCCCAGGCTGCGACGTCGCGACGCCGCGTCCAAGTGTTTTTTGACATTTTATCAGCGCAGGCGTGCAGCCCACTGTGAGGGGCGCCCAGTGTACAGTGTACTCTACCTGCTCCGCGGCGCGAGGCGCGCGAGGCCCGCCGGTTGAACGTTGCTTCTTGGTTTGGAAATGGCTTCGCGGTGCCGGCCTGGGTGCGAGAGAGACGGAGCGACAGTGTGGTGGCGGGCCGTGCGGCGTGACTAGCGCAGCGGTTCTCAACCTTTCTCGGCTCGCGACCCCAAATTTGAAGCCAAAAATTTCCGCGACCCCCCGGAAAAATTTCGCGACCCCACGGGACCCCTCCTTTAACATGCCACGGCGTCTGATCCGAGGCGGGCAGTTTGCTCCCTTAACAGGCAACTGGTCTTTGGACCTTCCTTTAGCATGCCTTTGTTACGGAGTGCAATTATCAGTCTTAGTTTGGGAGCAGTATTGTCTCAAAGTTGGCCAAAACCCTCAGAAATGTATATGAAAAATCGTGTTTTGGGCTGATTTTAAGCAGCCACAGCGTCTGATCCGAGGCGGGCATTTTGCTCCCTCAACGGGCAGTTGGTCTTTGGACCTTCCTTTAGCATGCCTCTGTTACGGAATGCGATTATCAGTCTTAGTTTGGGAGCAGTATTGTCTCAAAGTTGGCCAAAACGCTCAGAAATGTCTATGAAAAATCGTGTTTTGGGCCGATTTTAAGCAGCCACTGCGTCTGATCCGAGGCGGGCATTTTGCTCCCTCAACGGGCAGTTGGTCTTTGGATCTTCCTTTAGCATGCCTCTGTTACGGAGTGCGATTATCAGTCTTAGTTTGGGAGCAGTATTGTCTCAAAGTTGGCCGAAACGGTCAGCAGTGTCTTTGAAAAATCGTGTTTTGGGCCGATTTTAAGCAGCCACTGCATCTGATCCGAGGCGGGCATTTTGCTCCCTCAACGGGCAATTGGTCTTTGGACCTTCCTTTAGCATGCCTCTGTTACGGAGTGCGATTATCAGTCTTAGTTTGGGAGCAGTATTGTCTCAAAGTTGGCCGAAACGGTCAGCAGTGTCTTTGAAAAATCGTGTTTTGGGCCGATTTTAAGCAGCCACTGCGTCTGATCCGAGGCGGGCATTTTGCTCCCTCAACGGGCAGTTGGTCTTTGGACCTTCCTTTAGCATGACTTTGTTACGGAGTGCAATTATCAGTCTTAGTTTGGGAGCAGTATTGTCTCAAAGTTGGCCGAAACGCTCAGAAATGTCTATGAAAAATCGTGTTTTGGGCCGATTTTAAGCAGCCACTGCGTCTGATCCGAGGCGGGCATTTTGCTCCCTCAACGGGCAATTGGTCTTTGGACCTTCCTTTAGCATGCCTTTGTTACGGAGTGCGATTATCAGTCTTAGTTTGGGAGCAGTATTGTCTCAAAGTTGACCAAAATAGTCACAACGATTTTTCAAAGACACTTGCGACCGTTTTGATCGACTTTGAGACAATACTGCTCCCAAACTAAGACTGACAATCGCACTCCGTAACAAAGGCATGCTAAAGGAAGGTCCAAAGACCAATTGCCCGTCGAGGGAGCAAAATGCCCGCCTCGGATCAGACGCAGTGGCTGCTTAAAATCGGCCCAAAACACGATTTTTCGTAGACATTTCTGAGCGTTTCGGCCAACTTTGAGACAATACTGCTCCCAAACTAAGACTGATAATTGCACTCCGTAACAAAGTCATGCTAAAGGAAGGTCCAAAGACCGATTGCCCGTTGAGGGAGCAAAATGCCCGCCTCGGATCAGACGCAGTGGCTGCTTAAAATCGGCCTAAAACACGACCCCAGCATCGCCGCGACCCCTTAAAAAAATTTCGCGACCCCGCTTGGGGTCGCGACCCTAAGGTTGAGAACCACTGGACTAGCGTGACTGGCCGGGCTTCGACTCGCTCCACCCTTCAGCTCACCCGCCTTGCCGCCCCGCGCCTCGCAGTGCACTGGACAGGGCTTACCGCGGGCTTGCCCCGGCTTACCGTTCCGTTCGCCGGGCTTATTTACTACTGTAGGCCCTCGTAACGAGGCTTGCGTTCCGCCCGCTGTTCCTCCCAGTGGCGCAGCCGGCCGGGAAGGCGCACTCACTTTTGGCAGTTCGCGCACAGTGGGCCAGAAGACCAGTGGAGGCGGCCCAAAGTCTGGACGCGTTTTGAGCTCCAGAGTCGCTAAATGGGACTCGAACCGAACGTGTGACCCCACCAATGGATTCCTCGTTCGGAGAGCGATCCATTGGTGGGGTCATTCTTTGGCCCGCTGTGTCGCGGTGTAAAGTTTCGCCCAAGTTTCTTTCCGCCCTAAAAATTTAAAAGTGCCTTTCTTTTCCAAACCGAGTTTCTTTGCGTCTTTTTGAGCGTTTTTAAGTTTGCCAAGTTGCGGCCAGTTCATTTTTCGCCAAGTTGGCATTTGGTGATGCGGTCGCCAAGGGGTTGTCGTTTGGTCGGCAGGGGGCCTCGGGGCCTTGGGAGACTGCGTGCAGCAGACTGAATCCGAGAGTCGTTTTCGTCGCTCTGTCTCTCTCGCACCCACGCGGGACGCCCCATGGGTGCGAGAGAGACGGAGCGACGAAAACGACTCTCAGTGTGCTGGGTGCGGCGGGGTGCCCGGAGAGGCACATCTGCTGCGGCTAGGTCCGGTGCCGGCCGGTGCCGGGCTGTCCGGTTTGTGACCCCGCGACCTCGGCTCGGTACACCGCGCCGCGTATGCCGGCCCTCCGCGTACAGTACCCCACCATTCACTACGGCACTACGAAAAATATTTATAGCTTTGAAACGCGAAACACTCGTCTCGTTTGTTGACATTATTAAAATAGTAGTTGTTGGGCCTTTTTTTTTTCAAATTTTTGCCGCAGCATGTTGCTGCAATGAGAGGTGATTGGGAACGTGTATCGGCTGGTTGCAATTGGTCGCATGACCTATCGGTGCCACCCATTAAGACTGTGCGTGTGTGTGTGTGTGTGTGTGGCACGTACGTAGCCGGGCGCGTTAGATACGTCGCAGATTGGCATACTAGGTGAGATAGGGGTGGGTTGGTGGGTTCGATCGCCTTGCTAGATATGTAGAGTAGACTAGTCGCACTTGCGGAGTATGTCAGTGTGTGCGGTTAGAGGTTCGTGCGACGGGCGGGGCAGAAACGAGTGTGTAATTAGCTCAGTAATATTTGAACTCGAACGCAGTGATCAACAACGCTTTGCGTTTCACTTGTGTTGCTCA